CCATGAGCTCACTACTTCACATACCCCACTTTTGTGATGTCGACGAACACTCGTTTGACACTTTTATAATGTCAACGAATTCTCGTTGTCACATTCGTAATGCTCGTTATAGTAGAGACTTTGTAATCGCAGATACAACTATAGTAATGCCGTTGAACAATATCGGTGTCAGATGCCTTCGAATAACACCCACACTAATAGTACTTGCTCGAATAGTAATCCGTATAGAAAAATAGTATACTGAAAAGAGTACAGAACAGCGATCCGTATAGTAATAGAGGATAGACTAGAGATGGTTCCTCTATGGTCACGTGATCTACTTAATTCCTGTGTTTGCTCACTGGCGATCTGTGTTCAAACTCAAGTGTCGGCAGCGACACTTTATTGGTATATCACAGCCCCACCCCTACAAAAGCATCACATCAGCTTCCCTTCTTTGACGTCGCAACGTGTTCCTGTCAATCACCACCAGGCCTTTATCTGACTGGTTCATTTTTGCCTTAAGAATTAGGGAAAACAAGCGATTGAAAATCTGTCTTCATTTCATTCGATCTCCTTGTATTTTAAAGGAGACTTGGTCATCGATATCCTTCATTTAGTACCGACACTTGCTCGCTGATACAACACCAATAATTTTATCGCTTGACAAAAAAAAGAAAAGAAAAAGAAAAGGACTTATTAAAACTTTTCTCTAGATACGAGAAACGTGTCCGTGAAATAAAGATCTCATTTTCCCTTATCAGAATTGAATCGAAATCGATCAGAATTTTTTCAACAAAATTTTTACAAAGATTGTACTTGTCGATCTCCTTCTTTTTACAATTAGCAAAGTCGTTTTACCTTTTGAAAACTCAAAATATTTGTTCGTTTTTTTTTTTTTCTGTTAAATAATCGTAACGGACTATTTTAAATGTTCAAAGTCGAGACGTGAATATTAAGGACATAAAAGGCTATCAAAGGGACATCACCAGTCAGACGGAATAATAGCCAGGCTTCAGGAACGCGACCTCCCATCACCCAAGCCAACTCACCAAAGGCCGTCGGCGCATTAACTCATAACTCACACTCCCTCCCGTATCCTATTTATGTTAGTAGTATATCATATGACTAGCAGCATGGCCCGGCGTTGCCCGTGCTTGATTCAAAAATCCTACGACTCGTACAGCAATTGCTATCACTTGACTTAAAATATTTTTGCTCTTCCTTGCCTTTAAAGGAGTGCCCTTTGCCGTGCTGATGTTGCTACATGCCTTACTTCTTGCCTATCTCACACTGAGAATTTTTTCTAAGCTTTATACTAAACATTAAATCGGTTACGAAAAAAAGAACTAAACAAAATAAACACAAAACGATCAGCTTTAAAAAAGGACTCGTAACTGGAAAAACCGAATGAAAAAATGTTAACAACAAATACACCCAACCCAGTTCTGCGGAATCAGAATCAACGTTGAGTTTAAGCAAGCGAATGGGCCAATTGGAGTAAAGTGCCATGCAGATTTAAATTTTTCCCACTTGTGACCAATACAGCTATCGATTTTTTTTTTGCATGCTAGTTAAAATTCATGTCAGTCAGCTGTTGGCTCTCACGCTGACCAATAGAATCTTCCTGCCTATTCGTGGCTGACAGCTATTGGCTCTCACTCTGGTCAGTACAAAATGGCCTCAAACTACATGAAAACTGCCGTAGAAGCTAGAAAAAATCGATTATTTCCACTATCGATGGAGCATGTGCATGTAAATTTTGGTGCAAATCCGTCAAATTGCGGCCGTGCATTCGTTACACACACACACACACACACACACACACACACACACACACATCCTGCCTTTTATAGATAGATTATGGGCCGAGTGGTTAGAACCTTCGCATTCTGACCATGAGACCCGGGTTCGAATCGCACCATGGTCGATTTGTCAGGAAGAGAATTCCTGATGTTATTGAACTATCGATCCCAGTGTGCAGCACCTTTGGAAAGTGCCTGAAAAACCATACAAAGGGTTGACACGAGGCTTATGAGTGAAATTGGGTAGACAGAGACCTTGGGGCCGTCGATAGCTGTGCCAGCACGAAGTCACAAGTCATCGTAGCCGAGTGCTTACTGGCCTTGTTGAAATTGTTGATCACGCTAGATAACAAGCTCTTTCCCAGAAACTGTAACTAAGGTCTGCTCAGCCTAGTTGGAATATAAACCACAGGTGGGCTCTGTGGATGTTGAATAAACACAAATGCTCCTGAGCAAGCGTCTGCAATAGGGATTGGCTAGTCACCCTAGTAGACGTGTATCCTCGAATACGAATGGCCAGCTATACATATATTATAGGATTATTAGGGTTATCAAGCCCAGACACACAGCGGCAAGAAATCATCAGCGTTAAACGTACCATTCAGAATACCAACCACCCGGTAAACGTAACCTCGTGCGCGAATAGATGGGATAAGGAGATAGACTCTGTCTAATTTACGTCAAGAGACTTATCGGAAAAAAGAATCGGAAATTCTGCAGCATATACAACATCAGGGTAACATCCAGAAACAGTTCCTCTCTGCCGAGTAAAACCCAACACGACGAAGGAACCATGACAAAGAATTGCGCGTACTCAATCACTTGCAGTTGTCTCAGAGAATATAAAGATGAAACAAGCCGCTCCCTAAATGTAAGGTTAGAGGAAGCCATGAAATCGGATATGGCTGATCGTGTATGATTGGAAAGGAGTTGTCATCAGCCCCGGTGTAATGACGTGAAAATATTCAACCAGGAAAAACACGGGAGAAAGAATCAGTATATATGCTAGACTATGAGGATCTGGTTAGTAGGCCTAGCATAGAAATAAATACAATATGGGAGCCACTAATAAAGAAAGATAACAAGTCTTTAACATCAGGAGTAGCAGCGGGCAGGTTTGATTTAAGACTCCAAGTTCACTATAGAAAATGGTCTAGTGGATTAAATCGTTGGTTCGTAAATTTGGAGACATAGTGTTTGTGAGTTCAATCTCTGGGCTGGCCAGTGTGTACGTGGACGAGAAAATACTGAGCGTTACCATAAATAGGAACCAGACAAGAATACCGAATTCCCTGTAGATTACCCAAATTAATATACACTTGAGGAAAGCCGAAACATTGTGATAACAACAAAGATGTGGACAATCGTTCGAATATAAATAGCGTGAACAGAAAATAATCTGTAGGAACACTGTCCCTAATTTAATAAAATAAACAAATTAATTGAACATCATATGCATGAATCAGGCCCTCTTTCTTTTTACAATCATCATAATTTGCAAGCAGGGACATACTATATAAACAAGACAGCCACCCACACATGCCGCCTACACGCAGCAGTTGCACACGTCTAGACTGTCTAGACAGCCAGACATATATAAAATCAGAACACATGCTCTTCACATCAGCAGCAGTTAAATCCGTTAACAGTGGGCGTGATTGCGGTTTCAAACCAGCCAATAAGAAGTAACATATTTAGGTGTTCAATGAAACTAACACATGCTACGCAATGAACGAACTTTCACCTTAGGCAGCAAGTCATTTATAAACTCTATATGAAACAAATAAAATTTTTAAACATTACCTCCACCAAACGGACTTTCCTTTCCTCGTAATATCTCTTAAATTATATACAGTGTAACCCGGATATAAGAGAGTTGTCGGGACTGGAGAGGAAGTCTCTTATATCCGGGTTTGGTCTATTTCCTATACATTAACACAGGCTCTAATTTGGGACTAGAGAAAATCTCTCTCATATCCGGGTTTCTCTTATATCCGGGTTACACTGTATAAAACTAACTTAAAACCTCCCTATCATGTGGCATTTAACCTAGCTCCTGAAAAGAGCTGTTGATGGGGCCTTCATCAGAATAGGTAGGGAGGAGGAGATGCAATAGGCAACAATAAACTACAGAAGAACTTAAATGCTACATTTAAGTACTGAGTTAATATTTAAGCTTACCTTTGAAAAGTCCAACGATTATTCTTCTGTCGCCATATGATTCAAAGACAATTTGATGTGCATAGGCCCTTACTTTTCGTACAAACAATTGCTTTTATTTCATGGATGACTTTCGCAATTAATTTCAATAATTCGAAAAAAACAAAACAATTGCAATAATGAAAACTTGGGAATCCAAAATTTCATGATCGCTGGTCCGGATACGGCCTGGAATGGTTTTAATTTGCTCACGGAGTTGGATTTGGTTCCAAAATGCTATGAAGTGTTGGGAGTAAAGTTGAAAAAGTGTGACACACTGACATTCGCATTTATTATATAGATTATATATCTACAAATCAACAATTCGTGCTTGCATGGAGTATTGCTGCCATATATGGTCTGGAGTCCCTTCTGTTTGCCTCGGGGTTCTTGATAAGTTCCATAGGCAGATATCCAATATAATTGGCCCTGCTCTGGCATCTCGTCTACAGTCGCTCTCTCACAGACGCACCGTAACCTCTCTCTGTCTGTTTTACAAATACTTTCATGGCAATTGCTCCGAGCAGCTGCATTCGCTGGGACCCAGACTTCATGAGTTCAAGCACCCTACGAGGCTGGCATCCCGCTCTCACCCTTTCACAGTCGAAATTCCTAAATGTAGCCGTCTCTTCTGCTCCAATAGCTTCATGTCTCGCACCACTCGCCTGTGGAACTCCCTTCCCTATTCCAGTTTCCATGAGAGCTATAATCTCCAGCTATTCAAATGTAATGTCAATCGACATCTCCAGTTGCCTTGATCTATCCACAGTCCTTCTCCTCATCCTTTCTTCTATCACTCCTATCTGATCTTGCTCTAAATTTTCTGTAACCCCTTGCGTCCTAGTGGCTTCTCGCCTTGCTTGGGGTGAAACGCTTAAAAAAAAAAGTTATCTTAATTATAAATTTGTTTATAATTATTTATTATTTTGGATGGAGTTCCGATACACAAATTATTTATCAGCTGTTTGGGTTGAGGAAAAATTTCCTCAAAGCTTCTGTAAAAGTATTAATTGCAATATGAACCAGAGAAAAAAATCTATTTGTTTGGGTGTACGCTCTTTGCAGTACGATTGTACTTTGCTAAGGAAGAACAAGCCATCATATATGACGAGAACAAATGAAATAATAAGTGTGTTTAGTGTTGGCGACCAGAAAACGATGCAACATATTAATAGGCTATTAGAAAGATTTCTTCAGACTCTGAGTCTGCGTGTGCCATTTACTAACAAGCGTGTCCCTGAATTTAATGAATAGGAAGAAGAATGGATTATATTAAAATGAAGGAATAATATCGATGTGAACAATGAAGTTAATTTCCGTCAGTTTCCTTCAAGTCTTAGATTTCCTGATTCCATTTTTTGTTTCTTGATCCCCTTGGACTTTCCCTTATATTTATAGACGTTCTTTTTATTTTTTTTTAATTATCCCTTTGAAATAAGTCCTGACTTTTAAACTTTTTGAATATATATTATTTTTCGTTCATCATCCATTTTTTTTCTATTGTTTTCTGGTCTTTCATATTCCAAGCAAATCCAGATCTTTTTCCAAAGTTTTTGATCTTCGTCTGCTTACTTTTTTCTTTTTTTTTTTCTTTTTCTGTTCCTTCATTTCCCGCTATTTTCTTTCGACCTCTTTTCTTTCAGATTGTGATTTTTGTTCTTGGAATTTCTGCTTCTTTTAATATTTTTTAAATTGTATTTTTATATTTCAGCTTTTCTCCTGTAATATTTTCTACCGATCTACATTTTTTCATCAAATTTCAATTTTTATTTTTGTTTTATTCTTTTTCTATTCCATTGGAAATCTTTTTTTTAAATTTTTATTAGAATTTTTTTTTTAAATCGTTTCTTTTGAATTTTTCATTCGAATTTTTTTTTTAATATTTTGTCCTCTTTTCTCTTCTTTAAACTTTCTGTTCATATTTTCACGAACTTTGAGATGTTTCTCTAATTCTCCTCACAATTATAAACTCTTTTGCGCGCTCTCTCTCTCGCTCTCTTTCGCTTTTTCGCGCTCGCTCTCTTTCGCTCGCTCTCTTTCGCTCTCATTCCCAAATATTTTTTGTCTATTTTTTTTTTTCTCTTTTTCAATATTCAATATTTTCTTTTTTTTTCCTTCTTTCTTCTTCATTCCTTCCTCTGTATATTTTTCTTTTTTCAATATTCAATAATGTTTTTTTTTTCTTTCCTTCCTCTTCTTTCCATATTCCTTCCTCTGTATATTTTTCTCTTTTCAATATTCAATGTGTTTTTCTTTTCTTTTCCTTCCTCTTCTTCTTCGTCTCCATATTCCTCTGTATATTTTCTCTTTTTCAATATTATTTTCTTTTTCTTTCCTTCCTCTTCTTCTTCGTCTCCATATTCCTTCCTCTGTATATTTTTCTCTTTTTCAATATTCAATGTGTTTTCTTTTCTTTCCTTTCTTCTTCTTCGTCTCCATATTTCATATTTTTTCTCTTTTTCAATATTCAATGTGTTTTCTTTTTCTTTCCTTCCTCTTCGTCTCCATATTCCTTCCTCTGTATATTTTTCTCTTTTTCAATATTCAATGTGTTTTCTTTTCCTTCCTCTTCTTCTTCGTCTCCATATTCCTTCCTCTGTATATTTTTCTCTTTTTCAATATTCAATGTGTTTTCTTTTTCTTTCCTTCTTCTTCGTCTCCATATTCCTTCCTCCTCTTTTCAATATTCAATGTGTTTTCTTTTTCTTTCCTTCCTCTTCTTTTCGTCTCCATATTCCTTTCTGTATATTTTTCTCTTTTTTCAATATTCAATGTGTTGTTTTCTTTTTCCTTTCCTTCTCCATATTCTTTCGTATATTTTCTCCATATTCTCTTCCTCTGTATATTTTTTCTTTTTCAATATTCAATGTGTTTTTCTTTTTTTCCTTTCCTTCTTCTTCGTCTCCATATTCCTTCCTCTGTATATTTTCTCTTTTTCAATATTCAATGTCTTTTTCTTTTTTCTTTCCTTCCTTCTTTCGTCTCCATATTCCTTCCTCTGTATATTTTTCTCTTTTCAATATTCAATGTGTTTTCTTTTTCTTTCCTTCTCTTCTTCTTCGTCTCCATATTCCTTCTCCATATATATTTTCTCTTTTTCAATATTCAATGTGTTTTCTTTTTCTTTCCTTCCTCTTCTTCTTTTCCATAATATTCAATGTGTTTTTTTTTTCCTTCCTCTTCTTCTTCGTCTCATATTCCTTCCTCTGTATATTTTCTCTTTTCAATATTCAATTCTTCATCGTCTCCATATTTCCTTTTTTCCTCTGTATATTTTTCTCTTTTTCAATATTCAATGTGTTTTCTTTTTCTTTCCTTCCTCTTCTTCTTCGTCTCCATATTCCTTCCTCTGTATATTTTTCTCTTTTTCAATATTCAATGTGTTTTCTTTTTCTTTCCTTCCTCTTCTTCTTCGTCTCCATATTCCTTCCTCTGTATATTTTTCTCTTTTTCAATATTCAATGTGTTTTCTTTTTCTTTCCTTCCTCTTCTTCTTCGTCTCCATATTCCTTCCTCTGTATATTTTTCTCTTTTTCAATATTCAATGTGTTTTCTTTTTCTTTCCTTCCTCTTCTTCTTCGTCTCCATATTCCTTCCTCTGTATATTTTCTCTTTTTCAATATTCAATGTGTTTTTCTTTTTCTTTCCTTCCTCTCTTCGTATATATTTTTCTTTTTTTCAATATTCAATGTGTTTTCTTTTTCTTTTTTCTTTTCTTCTCTCATATTCTTTCTGTATATTTTTCTCCATTATTCCTCTTCTTCTTCGTATATTTTTTCTCTTTTCAATATTCAATGTGTTTTCTTTTTTCTTCTTCTTCTTCCTTCCTTTCGTCTCCCATATTCCTTTCCTTCTTGTATATTTTTTCTTTTCTTTTCAATATTCAATGTGTTTTCTTTTTCTTTCCTTCCTCTTCTTCTTCGTCTCCATATTCCTTCCTCTGTATATTTTTCTCTTTTTCAATATTCAATGTGTTTTCTTTTTCAATTTCAATGTGTTTTCTTTCCTTCCTCTTCTTCTTCGTCTCCATATTCCTTCCTCTGTATATTTTTCTCTTTTTCAATATTCAATGTGTTTTCTTTTTCTTTCCTTCTTCTTCGTCTCCATATTCCTTCCTCTGTATATTTTTCTCTTTTTCAATATTCAATGTGTTTTCTTTTTCTTTCCTTCCTCTTCTTCTTCGTCTCCATATTCCTTCTGTATATTTTCTCTTTTCAATATTCAATGTGTTTTCTTTTCTTTCCTTCCTCTTCTTCTTGTCTCCATATTTTCCTCTGTATATTTTTCTTTTTTCAATATTCAATATGTTTTCTTTTTCTTTCCTTCCTTCTTCTTCGTCTCCATATTCCTTCCTCTGTATATTTTTTCTCTTTTCAATATTCAATGTGTTTTCTTTTTTTTTCCTTCCTCTTCTTCTTCGTCTCCATATTCCTTCCTCTGTATATTTTCTCTTTTCAATATTCAATGTGTTTTCTTTTCTTTCCTTCCTCTTCTTCTTCGTCTCCATATTCCTTCCTCTGTATATTTTCTCTTTTTTCAATATTCAATGTGTTTTTTTCTTTTTCCTCTTCTTTTCCTTCTTCGTCTCAATGTGTTTTTTTTTTTATTCCTTCCTCTGTATATTTTTTCTCTTTTTCAATATTCAATGTGTTTTCTTTTTCTTTTTTCTTCTTCTTCGTCTCCATATTCCTTCCTCTGTATATTTTCTCTTTTTCAATATTCAATATTTTTTTTCTTTTCTTTCCTTCCTCTTCGTCTCCATATTCCTTCCTCTGTATATTTTTCTCTTTTTCAATATTCAATGTGTTTTCTTTTTCTTTCCTTCTTCTTCGTCTCCATATTCCTTCCTCTGTATATTTTTCTCTTTTTCAATATTCAATGTGTTTTCTTTTTCTTTCCTTCTTCTTCGTCTCCATATTCCTTCCTCTGTATATTTTTCTCTTTTTCAATATTCTTCTTCGTGTTTTCTTTCTGTATATTTTTCTTTTTCAATATTCAATGTGTTTTCTTTTCTTCTTCTCTCTCCATATTCCTTCCTCTGTATATTTTCTCTTTTTCAATATTCAATGTTTGTTTTCTTTCCTTCTTTTCTTTTCCTTCCTCTTCTTCTTCGTCTCCATATTCCTTCCTCTGTATATTTTTTCTCTTTTCAATATTCAATGTGTTTTCTTTTTCTTTCCTTCTTCTTCGTCTCCATATTTTTTCTGTATATTTTCTCTTTTTCAATATTCAATGTGTTTCTTTTTTTCCTTCTTCTTCGTCTCCATATTCCTTATTTTCTCTCTTTTCAATATTCAATGTGTTTTCTTTTTCTTTCCTTCCTCTTCGTCTCCAAGTTCCTTCCTCTGACTTCTTCCTCAATATTGTATGTTTTCTTTTTTTCCTCTTTTTCAATATTCAATGTATTTTCTCCAATGTGTTTTCCTTCTTCTTTCATATTCCTTCCTCTGTATATTTTTTCTCTTTTCAATATTCAATGTGTTTTTTCTTTTTCTTTCCTTCTTCTTCTTCCTTCCTCTGTATATTTTCTCTTTTTCAATATTCAATGTGTTTTCTTTTTCTTTCCTTCTTCTTGTCTCCATATTCCTTCCTCTGTATATTTTCTCTTTTCAATATTATTCAATGTGTTTTCTCTTTTTCAATATTCAATGTGTTTTCCTTTCCTTCTTCTTCTCCATATTCCTTCCTCTGTATATTTTCTCTTTTCAATATTCAATGTGTTTTCTTCTTTTCCTTCCCTCTGTATATTTTTCTCTTTTCAATATTCAATGTGTTTTCTTTTTCTTTCTTCTTCTTCGTCTCATATTCCTTCCTCTGTATATTTTCTCTTTTCAATATTCAATATTTTTTTTTCTTTCCTTCTTCTTCGTCTCCATATTCCTTCCTCTGTATATTTTCTCTTTTTCAATATTCAATGTGTTTTCTTTCCTTCTTCTTCGTCTCCATATTCCTTTTTCTCTTTTCAATATTTTTCTCCTTCCAAATTTTCAATGTGTTTTTCTTTTTCTTTCCTTCTTCTTCGTCTCCATATTTCCTTCCTCTGAACAAGTCACCATTCTCTTCTCTTTAATTTATTTTTTCCAAATTTTAAGTTAACAACTTTTGCATTTTGAGTTAACAACTGCAAAGCAGAAAATAACTTTCATGTTAAAGCTAGAGAAAGAATTTTTAATTCAATGCATTGGTCTGCCTGTGACATTGCCTTTCTACCGTGCTTAATCAATCTATCTTGGAGAACTAATTTCGGAAGGTCGATCCTAATTGAGTGGCCCGCTATTTTAGTCTTGATCGAGGCGATGATGAGTTGCGTAAGGAGAAATTATCTTGGGAAGATATTTATCAATTCCCTATCTAATTTGGTGCACTAGACCTAAAGCCTTGTGTCAGAATTAAGCTTATGAATTAAACATTATTCCATACATTATTTAATATTAATTACTTTATTTCGATTTATTTTTATTTTAGTCGCTTCTTGACTTGTTTTTATTTCTTCTTTTTTTCTTTTTTTTTTCTTTTTTTTTTCTCTTTTTTTTTGTTTTTTTGTTTCGATCTCTCTACATTTTGTCTGAACTCTTTTGTTTGTTTGATTTTTCCTTTTTCTTTGTCCTTTTCTCTTTTTGACTTTTTTTTTCTGTCCCTTTTTCTTTGTCCTTTTCTCTTTTTCTGTCCCCTTTTTCTTTTTTTTCCTTTTTTTCTTTGTTGCTTTTTTCTTTTTTCTGTCCCTTTTTTTTTGTCCCTTTTCTCTTTTCTGTCCCTTTTTTCTTTGTCCTTTTTCTCTTTTTCTGTCCCTTTTTTTCTTTGTCCTTTTTCTCTTTTTCTGTCCCTTTTTTTCTTTGTCCTTTTTCTCTTTTTCTGTCCCTTTTTTTTCTTTGTCCTTTTTCTCTTTTTCTGTCCCTTTTTTTTCTTTGTCCTTTTTCTCTTTTTCTGCCCTTTTTTCTTTGTCCTTTTCTCTTTTTTTTCCCTTTTTTTCTTTGTCCTTTTCTCTTTTTCTGTCCTTTTTTCTTTGTCCTTTTCTCTTTTTCTGTCCCTTTTTTTCTTTGTCCTTTTTCTTTTTCTGTCCTTTTTTTTTTTTTGTCCTTTTTTCTTTTTTTGTCCTTTTTTTCTCCTTTTATCTTTTTTGCCCTTTTTTCTTGTCCTGTCGATCTTATTTCCTTTCTCTCTGTCGAAAAGTTCCTTTACTCAATATGTGCAAATTGGCACAAGTTTTGAGGAAACAGAGCAGTATTTCCCCCTTTCCTTCTCCATTGCACTGAATTCAGTCTTTATTTTCTTAGTCTTACTACTCAACGCTATATATCCTAGTCTATCCTGTTATTCGACCCAGAGTTAAGAGTGCGGTAAACAAATGGGCTCAAATCTTTCCCAAGAAATGCAAAACTTCAAACAAATCACTATACTGGAATATGAACTCAACATGCCAATTCCACATTCAACGCCGACAACTGATACCCTACCCTCTAAAATTGTTTCTACTTTCCCATTTCAGTCTGACACAAGTCTGTTTTTTGAACATCCATTGGATAGAGAACGCTCCACTCTTGAGAATACACAGTAAACTTGTTAAGAATCATTTCAAGAGACAGTTACTTATATTGGCATCATTCTTCACTTTCTCTTTCCTTTGTCATTAGTATTTGCTTTAATTAGTCTTTTTATATTTTTTTGCATTATTTCAACTAGTCTTTCGCTTCTTCGTTATCTCTGTTCTTCATCTCATTTTCTGCCTGTCTCTCTCCCTCTGACTTTTCTATTACTTGTCTCTCTCTCCCTCTGACTTGTCTCTCTCTCCCTAAGCTTTTCTGTTCTTGTCTCTCTCTGTCTCTTTTCTATTACTTGTCTCTCTCTCCCTCTGACTTTTCTATTACTTGTCTCTCTCTCCCTCTGACTTTTCTATTACATGTCTCTCTCTCCCTCTGACTTTTCTATTACTTGTCTCTCGCTCTCTCTCTGATTTTTCTATTACTTGTCTCTCGCTCTCTCTCTGATTTTTCTATTACTTGTCTCTCGCTCTCTCTCTCTCTGACTTTTCTATTACTTGTCTCTCGCTCTCTCTCTACTTTTCTTACCCTCGCTCTCTCTTTTCTATTGTCTCTCGCTCTCTCTCTGGCTTTTCTTGTCTCTCGCTCTCTCTCTGACTTTCTCTACTTGTCTCTCTCTCTCTCTCTGACTTTTCTATTACTTGTCTCTCGCTCTCTCGCTTTTCTAATACTTGTCTCTCGCTCTCTCTCTGACTTTTCTACTTGTCTCTCGCTCTCTCTCGCTTTTCTATTCTTGTCTCTCGCTCTCTCTCTGACTTTTCTCTTGTCTCTCTCTCTGACTTTCTATTACTTGTCTCTCTCTCTCTGACTTTTCTATTACTTGTCTCTCGCTCTCTCTCTGACTTTTCTATTACTTGTCTCTCGCTCTCTCTCTGACTTTTCTATTACTTGTCTCTCTCTCTCTCTCTCTGACTTTTCTATTCTTGTCTCTCTCTCTCTCAGCTTTTCTATTCTTGTCTCTCGCTCTCTCTCTCTTTTCTATTACTTGTCTCTCGCTCTCTCTGACTTTTCTACTTGTCTCTCGCTCTCTCTCTGACTTTTCTATTACTTGTCTCTCGCTCTCTCTCTCTGACTTTTCTATTACTTGTCTCTCGCTCTCTCTCTCTGACTTTTCTATTACTTGTCTCTCGCTCTCTCTGACTTTTCTATTACTTGTCTCTCGCTCTCTCTGACTTTTCTATTACTTGTCTCTCGCTCTCTCTCTGACTTTTCTATTACTTGTCTCTCTCTCTCTCTCTCTGACTTTTCTATTACTTGTCTCTCTCTCTCTCTCTCTGACTTTTCTATTACTTGTCTCTCGCTCTCTCTCTCTCTGACTTTTCTGTACTTGTCTCTCTCTCTCTCTCTGACTTTTCTATTACTTGTCTCTCGCTCTCTCTCTCTCTCTTTTCTATTACTTGTCTCTCGCTTTCTCTCTCTCTCTGACTTTTCTATTACTTGTCTCTCTCTCTCTCTCTCTCTCTTTTCTAATACTTGTCTCTCGCTCTCTCTCTCTCAGCTTTTCTAATACTTGTCTCTCTCTCTCTCTCTCTCTGACTTTTCTATTCTTCTCTCTCTCTCTCTCTCTGACTTTTCTATTACTTGTCTCTCTCTCTCTCTCTGACTTTTCTATTCACTTGTCTCTCACTCTCTCTCTCTGAGCTTTTCTATTACTTGTCTCTCTCTCTCTCTCTGACTTTTCTAGTACTTGTCTCTCTCTCTCTCTCTCTGACTTTTCTATTACTTGTCTCTCGCTCTCTCTCTGACTTTTCTATTACTTGTCTCTCTCTCTCTCTCTGACTTTTCTATTACTTGTCTCTCGCTCTCTCTCTCTGACTTTTCTATTACTTGTCTCTCGCTCTCTCTCTCTGACTTTTCTATTACTTGTCTCTCGCTCTCTCTCTCTGACTTTTCTATTACTTGTCTCTCGCTCTCTCTCCCTCTTTTTTTTCTATGTCTCTGCTCTCTCTCTGACTTTTCTATTCTTGTCTTCGCTCTCTCTCTCTGTCTTTTCTATTACTTGTCTCTCTCTCTCTCTGACTTTTCTACTTGTCTCTCCCGCTTTTCTCTCTGACTTTTCTATTACTTGTCTCTCTCTCTCTCTCTGACTTTTCTATTACTTGTCTCTCGCTCTCTCTCTGACTTTTCTATTACTTGTCTCTCTCTCTCTCTCTGACTTTCTCTACTGTCTCTCGCTCTCTCTCTCTGACTTTTGAATGTATCTCTCTCGCTCTCTCTCTCTCTGCTTTTTTCTATTACTTGTCTCTCTCTCTCTCTCTCTGACTTTTGAAATACTTGTCTCTCGCTCTCTCTCTCTGACTTTTCTATTACTTGTCTCTCGCTCTCTCTCTCTGACTTTTCTATTACTTGTCTCTCGCTCTCTCTCTGACTTTTCTATTACTTGTCTCTCGCTCTCTCTGACTTTTGTATTACTTGGCTCTCTCTGACTTTTGTATTACTTGGCTCTCTCTGACTTTTGTATTACTTGGCTCTCTCTGACTTTTCTATTACTTGGCTCTCTCTGACTTTTGGAATTCTGGCTCTCTCTGACTTTTCTATCTCTTGGCTCTCTCTGACTTTTCTACCTGAGCTCTTTCTGACTTTTCTATTACTTGTCTCTCTCTCTCTTTCTCTCTCTCTCTTACCTTCTTACTCTCTCTCTCTGACTTCTTTCTCTCTCTCTCTCTGACTTCTTTCTCTCTCTCTCTGACTTCTTTCTCTCTCACTCTCTCTGACTTTTCTCTTCTCTTGTCTCTCTCTCTCTCTGACTTTTCTATTCTTGTCTCTCTCTCTCTCTCTCTGACTTTTCTGTGTACTTGTAATTCTCTCTCTCTCTCTCTCTTTTCTTTTACTTGTCTCCTCTCTCTCTGACTTTTCTATTACTTGTCTCTCGCTCTCTCTGACTTTCTCTTTTCTCTCCTCTCTCTCTGACTTTTCTATTACTTGTCTCTCCTCTCTCTCTGACTTTTTTCTCTCTCTCTCTCTCTGACTTTTCTTAAGTTCTCGCTCTCCTCTTTCTATTGGAATGTATCTCTCTCTCTCTCTCTTCTCTCTTACTTCTCTCTTTTCTCTCTCTGAATTTATCTCTCTCTCTCTCTCTCTGACTTTTCTAATTCTTCTCTCTCTCTCTCTGAATTTTCTATTACTTGTCTCTCTCTCTCTCTCTGACTTTTAAATTCTGTCTCTCTCTCTCTCTCTTTTAACTTTCTCTCGCTCTCTCTCTTTTCTTTTCTCTCTCTCTCTCTTTTTCTCTCTCTCTCTCTCTTTTTTTTCTTTACTTGTCTCTCTCTCTCTCTGACTGGGGGAACATCTGTCTCTCTCTCTCTCTCTCTGACTTTTCTACTTGTCTCTCTCTCTCTCTCTCTTTTTGGGAATTCACTTTTCTCTCTCTCTCTCTCTGACTTTTCTTTCTCTCTCTCTCTCTCTGACTTTTTGGATTACTTGTCTCTCTCTCTCTCTCTTTCTATGAGTTGTCTCTCTCTGACTTTTGTATTACTTGTCTCTCTCTCTCTTTTGTCTCTGGCTTT